GAGAGAGAGAGGGAGAGGGGGGGAGATCTAAGATTGTGCCTCACAAATTGTTACAGAGAGAGAAAGTATTTCAAATTTTTATTATAGGGGTGGGGTCAAGTCATCTGGGTACGGGTCTAGTCGGATTCGAACGTGGACCCAACTGGATCTGAATTCACCGCTCACTTGGATACAAATTCACCGGACCTAGACCCAAAAATATATTGTGGATCCTAGACACGGCCCCGATCGGATCCGATCCAAAAATTAAAATATCTATGTATTTAACTATATTTAAATATACTTCATATATTGAGACCTAAAAATATTATTGAATCTGGACCCGAATAGTGTTCGGGTCCAAGATTTGGACCCACACCCGACCGGCTAAGTCCAATTTTTAGACCCATACCCGGACCAGAATAGAGTCTACCCCTTGGGTCTCGAGTCTGGTTTAGGTCCATTGCCACCCCTAATTTCAAGAGAGAGGCCAAGAAAGATGGTTGGCTCATTTTGATGTAAAAATGGATTTTGTTGCTATGATTTCTAAGGTGCAGGCCACATGGTTATTATTTTAACCGGTGCTTGAAAAATTGGCTAGTTTATTATTATTATTATTATTTACAAAATCAAAATATAAAAATTCAAATTACCTGTGGTTTCTCTACCAAATCCTTTCAAATTCGTCACAAATTATTATTCATCTCTCCCACGTTGATCTAAAATAGCCTAAAAAATATTTTAGTACCGTTCAAAATCCATTTTCTTTTAATATTCATCACTGTGATGTTCGAGATTACAACTGTCAAGATTGGAGTCAATTTGGCGGTCTAACTAGTCGGCCCATGACCAGTACATTAATCGTTCTTGTCCAAACCAAATTGAGATTGGTTGAAAATCAATCAAAACAATAATATTTGATTAATTTTGACCTATTGGATTTGGCTAGTTAGAACAATTAGACAAAGTTGGACAATTTTTTTTTATAATATATTTCATATTTTTAAATTATTATTTTTATGTTTCTTAATACATATATATATGGGTTTTGTTTCTTGCATCCTTAAACAATCCAATTAAAGTACACCTCCAAATTCTATCATAGCATGTAATTTTGGTGTAAGAAATTATTAGGATTATCTGAAAATCTATTTTCCTATCTTATTATAAAATTATAAGCTTCGAAAATAGTTAAAATCAAGTAGATCTACAAACATATGAAAATCTTGAAAATGGAAGGTCTAGATAATGCATTGTAAGATGCACTATTTCTGGGACTCAAAATCTGTTTTTTGTAATATTCATACATCTCTATGTCGAGATGATCAACTAGAGGGTTTTTCAATATTAAAACAATATTTCCGATGAATTTTTTAGGTGCATCTGTATTTTTGAAGAATTAAGATGAACCTTCCAAAAATAAGTTTCAAAATTTATATATGATAAGACTATTTCTTTTTTGGTACAAAGCCACCGTAAAACAGTTTTTTGGACATTAAGCCCATTAACGCCAACTACTAAATTTCACAACTGTAACATTATTTTACCAAAGGTAGATAGTCTTATTATATATATTTTCTTTTAAAATATTAATTTTATAGTTTTATTTTCGAATTCATAATTAATTGAAATTCTAAATCCCTTATCCATCTCTTAGAGAATATTTTAAAGGAAACTTATAATAACACACTTAAAAGTTCATTCTTAAAAATGCACTTAAAAGTTCATTCTTAAAAATGCAGATAGGTGGGCTAGGCATAGGGGCAAGGCGGGTCGGTTTGGATCCAGGTCCATGTTCAGAACTAAAAAAAAATGATATAGAACCTAAATTCGAATCTAGAACAGAACGAAACCGAACTCATCAATCCTGGACCCGGATCCGAAAATATTGTGTGGGACTCGGACCCAATCTGACCTGACACAAAAATTAAAATATTTATGTATTTAGCTATATTTCATATATTGGGACCCGAAAAATATTACCGGACCCATAACTGAATAGTGTTTGGGTCCAAGATTTGGACCCGGACCCAATCCACCAGGTCCAAAATTTTGAACCTCTACCCGGACCAATATAGGGTCAAATCCTCGGGTCCCAAGTCAGGTCCATTGCCACCCCTAGCTAGGGCTTGGCCGACTCAGCAAGTTGGCTCGGCCAACATTTTTTAAAATATAATAAAATTATAGAATTTTGGTTGTTGCAAAAATTTAAACGAGGTTAGGATTCTCAAATCAATGTAATAAAATATCCTTATAAATTAAAACTCATAGAAGTATGGTTTTAGAGTTAAATGGAAAGCTCTCTATGTTCTCCGTACAACATACAAGTTCTATCCTCTCCCTTATCCAACTGTCCATTTTTTAATGGAGGGCTAAGATTTTCCCAATCATAATGTCACGTCTCTACACTATTTTATTTTGTATTTTTTTTTCTATAAACTATTTTGAAACCAAATTTTGGACGTCCACTCCTCTATTAAACTCGCAGGAATGAAAAATATAAAAAAAAAATTGAAAGTTTCAAGGGGTATTTTGATCATTAGTTTTATCAAAAAATTATTGTTAATATTTTTCATAGGTGCGCCTCAATGAGAAGATGGCATGTACCAAATTTAATATTCAGAAAAATTATATTAAAAAAAAACTAAAATAAAATACTTTGAGACGTCGGATCTAAGATCAAACAGTGCGTGACTCTCTTGAAAAAATTGAAGGCGGGATGGTAGGGGAGGATAGAACTTTTATGTTGTAAGGGGACATAGAAAGCTTTCCCTAGAGTTAATTGGTCAAAGTCTTGATTCTTGATTTAGCAAAATTAGGGCAGCCACCCACTAGTTCCGATTCAAATTGGCAATCCTATTTTTGAACCTTGGCTGAACTATTTAACATGTCACCTATTTTTTATTATCTAATTTTAAATATCTCTATTGGCGTTTACATGAGGGGGCTACCTTATTGGCGCGTCTGACAAGGTAGGACTTACCTATTTGATAACGATAAATAAATAATATATATTTTTAAAACATTGTTCATTTTAACTGGATGGTGTAGATAAGAGATTGATACAATAAAATTATTTATTTTTACTATAAAGACAAATAAATAATATATATTTTTAAAACATTGTTCATTTTAACTGGATGGTGTAGATAAGAGATTGATACAATAAAATTATTTATTTTTACTATAAGGAGGTCACAATCATTTATAGCTATTAGATGTAAAATCTAATAGATTGAAGTGTGTCAACATTTGAGAAATTTTGTTTTTAAATTTACACTCATTATATATCCCCAACTATCTGATTTCACATCTAACAGTCAATAATGATTATGACCTCTTTGTATTAAAAGCAAATAGCAAATAATTTCATCATGTACATTTCCTAAATTTAATAAGGTCAACCCCTAAATTTAATAAGCGGTGACAATGGGTCGGGTTGGACCAGACCCAAAAAATTGATATGGGATCTGACCAAATTCATCGGACATGAACCCGGACTCAACCCAAAAATTAAAATATCAGTATTTAACTATATTTAAATATATTTCATATATTTCATATATTTAGATCAGACTTGAATAGTTTTCAGGCCCAAGATTTGGACCTGGGCCCACCCAACCCAAATCGGATCTACCCCAGGGTCCGATCCACTAATGTTATAAACTTTTTTGTGAAATAAATTGATAAACTTTCCCATTTTTCAAAGGGTGTCGTTTGTATAAAGTCGAGGCTCTAAACAATCAAAGTAAAGCATACCTTCGAATAGAATCGAGAAATATGGTTTCAATACTGGAAATCTTTGTGATAGCCTTAAAATATATTTGGGTGCAGTTGGCACACGGATGTATCTGTAGCTGTAGAGGTAAGGTGCACCTGCAAATTTTATCATGGTATATAACTTTGATGTAAAATGCTTTTAGGATTATCTCAAAATCTATTTTTATATCTAATTATAAAATTTTAAATTTAAAAATGGTTAAAATCAAGTAGATCTATAAACATATGGAAATCTTGAAAATGGACGGTACAAATAATATATTGTAAAATGCACTATTTTTTAGACTGAAAATCTTTTTATTTTTTATGGTTGTACATCTCAATGTCGAGATGATCAATCAAAGGCTTTTTCAACATTAAAGCTACTTTTTTTTTATGGATTTTTGAGGTGCATCCATCCGTAGTTCTACATTATAAGATTGCATCTTTATATAAATTTTTTCCAATATATTTTTATCGTTAATTATAAAATTTAAAACTTTAAAAGTAGTATAGATTAAATAGATATATGAAAACTTGAAAATTGATGATAAAAAAATACATTGTAAAATGCACTATTTTTAAAACTTGAAATTCATTTTTTTCTCATTGCCATTAATCTTATATGAAAACTTGAAAATTGATGATAAAAAAATACATTGTAAAATGCACTATTTTTAAAACTTAAAATTCATTTTTTTCTTATTGCCATTAATCTTAATATCGAGATGATCAATTTTAGGAAATTTGAGCAAAACAACCAATTTTCGAGGTGCCCTCTAATTTGATTGTTTAGAGCCTCCGCTCCATATAAACTTTTCCAAAAGGGAGTCGCGTGTCAAATTCTTCGGCCAAAACTCTGGTCCATCAGAAAACCAGAGAGAGAGATTTCCATAGGGTGAGAGACTGTATTTTTAAGTACCGGAAAAAGCCAGAGAGGGTTTCTTGAATCCTGAATTCTCCTGATTGCTAACGGACGCGAGTAAACCAAGGAGCTCCTGGAAGAGAGAGAGAGAACTTTTAATATCAGGCAAATTTTGAGAGAGAGATGAACTCTTTTCTGAACCCGAACAAAAAACCCAAGAGAAACAGCAACACCAAGCCCATCTTCAACCCCCTCTCATGTCTATTCCTCTTTCTGTCTATCATCTCTCTCTTCTTTATCCTCCTCTCGCCCTCCTCTATAACACGCTTCACTTTCTCTCTCAAGAACTCCCCCCCTCAATGCAACCCAAAATCAACGGCCAAAACCCTAGAATTCCTTCCCAAAGGCGAGAAATATCTCTGGTATTCACCTCACAGTGGGTTTAGTAACCAGGTATCGGAGCTGAGGAACGCATTCTTGATCGGCAGTTTGCTCAATCGGACGGTCATTATTCCTCCCATCTTGGATCATCACGCAGTGGCCCTTGGAAGTTGCCCCAAATTTAGGGTTTCGAGCCCTTATGAAATTAGAGTTTCGGTTTGGGATCACATTGTTCATCTGATGCAAAATTCCAGGTTTTCTTTTTTATCCCCTTCTCTTTTTTCATGGAAATTTGGTCACTGAAAATTCCTTTTTCTCTCAAGGGGATGACCAAAATGCCCCTACTGTTTTTCTTGAATGCCTAATTTATGCTTTATTGAAAGGGGCATTGTTTTTTGTAGTAAAATGTCTAATATTCTCTAATAAAAAGGTACTGTAGTCTCACCTTGCAAAAAATTTGATCTCTGATTGCTTTTTTGTGGGAAAAAACTAGGTTAACAAATGCTGTTTTAGATTGCAATTTTGATGTTGTGGCTTCCAACTTATCTAAGTACAATGTGGGATTGTGCATGTATGTGATTGTATGTATCTTAATCAATCTTGATTGTGCATGTATGTGATTGTGCATGTATCTTAATCAATCTTGATTGTGCATGTATGTGATTGTGTATCAATATACAAATGACAAATTAATTAACATCCCCAAGTAATTAATCTGAGCTTAAACATGCTTTGTCCTAGTTGAGTAGTATTTCTCATTCATTCAAGTTCTTGGAGAGTCCATGGTCAATGTGGCAACTTTTCTTTTTGAAGCATGAAAGAATACAGTGGTATCAATGGTAGAAATTAGTGTTTCAAAACAAGGATCCGGCATGGAACTAGCCAAGGGGTGGGTCCAATTCGGCTTGCTAAGTCCCGTGTCTAACTGGTCAAGACTCAGAGTCAGAGATGAATCGATGGTTTTTCTTCTGAACACCCAGACGGACATGGCTACTTGGGTCATCCTCGTCAGGGTCATTGGGAACCAGCAGTTCTGAGTGACTTGGATGTGTTAGAGTCGGGCTAACCAAGTTTTAAACCCTGGTTGAAAGAGTTAATGGTGACCCCAACTTGGCTACAATTTGATGGTGCCCTATTCATTCAATTTGCTTCAATCTTTTTTTTTTGAGAAGGTTATGTAGGCATGGAGCGTGAGATGTAGTGCTATGAAAACCCAGCTGCCACCACCTTGACCCATGCCCGATTCCTCACTCCGAGTATTTTTCTTGGGCACTCACAAACCTCTGCTAATTTCCATAATGTAGAATATCTTATGAACAAGTCTAATTTGAGAAATTAATAAATTGGACAATTGAGTTAATAAATGACTTTGTTGGCTCGATTAGAAAATAATAATACTAAAAATAATAATCACATTTTGAAACTGTTCTGTTGTTGAGCTCAAGGAAAGAAATTTACATTGATATGAAAGTCTTCAAAAAAACTTAATTATCCATTGTTAAAAGGGTGCGGTTTGTATAAAGCCGAGGCTCTAAACGATCAAAGTAAAGTGCACCTTCAAATAGTGTCAAGAAATGTGGTTTCAATACTGGAAATCTTCGTGATAGCCTTAAAATATATTTTCATCTCTAATTATAAAATTTAAAGCTTCAAAAATAGTGTAGATCGAGCAAATCTATGAAAACTTGAAAATCTTGAAATTGACAGTCCAAAAATGCATTACAAGATGCACTATTTCCAAAACTTAAAATCTATTTTTTTCTCATGTCCATGCATCTTGAGGTCAAGATGAATAATTTGAGGATATTTGGACATCAAAACAACCTCTTCTAGTGAAATTTTTGAGGTGTGCCCTAATTTGATTGTTTAGAGCCTCGCACTTATATAAACTTTTCCCCGTTAAAATGGCCACCCCAAATGTAATTGTCTCACCACCTATAACTACCAAAAAATTGTTTTGTTGAGCTCAAGGAAGAGAATTTTCATTGATGTGTAAATACTCGAACGAGCCTCAATTTAACCACTGTTAAAATGGCTACCCCAAATTTAATTGTCTCTCTGCAACCTATAACTACCATAGAAGAACTAAGCGCTACAAATAAATTATTGAAAAGGGATAAGCATGACAATATCTCCTTCTCTCTCATTCGCCCTGTTTTTTCGTTGGGCATGCTGCCCTGCTTGCATTTGTGAACTTGTTATGGTATTCTCATTCTTGAAGAATTATGTTCTGTGTAGACTATGATAACTCTGTATCATTTATGCAGGTACGTTTCAATTTCAGATGTTCTTGATCTTTCATCATTAAAACACTCCGTAAAAATGATTGATTTCAGAGTTTTTGCTTCACTATGGTGTGGCATAAGCATGGACGAAGCTTGCTCTGGTAGCCTATGTTGTGGTCTTTCCCAATTTACTTCTCAATGGGGGGACTTAAAACAATGCGGGTCTTTGTTATCTGGTCTCAAATACAACTCAGACTGTGTATATGGGGTAACTGAAGATTGCAGGACAACAGTGTGGACACTGCAACCTAACACTGATGGGTCTTTGGACTCTTTTCAACCTGATGAAAGCCTAAGGAAAAAGAAGAATATATCTTACATTAGAAGACGTAGAGACTTGTTTAAGGCCTTTGGTCCTGGTTCAAAGGCTCATGTAGCCAAAGTTTTATCTTTTGGGAGCCTTTTCTCTGCACCTTATAACGGTTCCCAGCTTTATATTGATGCCCATGATGCTCCAGCCGATGCTTATATACAGCCTTTGCTTGGAAAAATTGAATTTCTTCCATTTGTTGCAGAAATATTAAGTGCAGGAAAGGAGTTTGTCGAGAAGAAGATTAGGGTCCCTTTCCTATGCGCTCAGCTTAGATTGCTGGATGGGCAGTTCAAGAACCATTGGAAGGCCACCTTCTCGGCCTTGAGAGAGAAAATCCAATCCTTGCAAGCTCAGCTTGAGGGTTCGGATAAGCTGATGAATATTTTCATAATGTCTGATCTACCACCTTCAAATTGGTCTGGAACTTACTTGGGGAAGTTGGCAAGTGACCCCAATTCCTTCAAGATTTATACCCTCAAAGAAAGCGATGAATTGGTTTCAAAAGTTGCTGAAAAACTCATGGCCAGAGAGCATGGGATTAGGTCTGGTTATTACCCAAGAGAGATTGTCAGCATGGATAAGAGGAAACAGTGTGTCTCTTCCAGGGTTTTGCCTGAAGTGCTTATGTATGTGGAGGAAACAGTCTGTAGCTGTGCTTCTCTAGGTTTTGTTGGGACTTCTGGTTCAACCATTGCCGAGAGTATAGAGTTGATGAGAAAGAACAACGTCTGTTTGGATTCAAATAATTCATAGTTTTTTACCCATTCTCAGTCATTTCTGCGAGTGAGTTTTCTTAAGGATCCAGCTTTCCCAACATTCGAAGCTTTTCATTGGCATTGGAAGCATGTGGCGAAAATCTTCATAAATCCTCATGTGGGCATTCACTTCATGGAATGAGAGCACAATGTAGTGATGCATTTTACATCTCCCATTGGAGGCATTAGTTGCTGAATTTTAACGCAATTTGCTTTGTCTAGAACTTTGGTTTCTGCAATTGTGGGTAAAACGGGCAAATCCATATTCAATGCGCTAAGGATCAAACTTCGGCCTCCTAGTAACTACACGAAGATACCAACCACTTTTAATGAAGTGTCTTATGGAATTGATGCATTGAACAGGTTATTACCCCAGGCTTTCTCTCTCAACATAGCGCATACAACTGGTGACCTTGATCAAATGCTCTTGCACCGTCCGTGGTTTGTTGGCAAGGTGACTTCAAGGCTGGACCGAAGTTATTCTCCTTTCTTTGGCTTGCTTTCTTGTGCAAAACAAGGATATGCTCCAAGTCCAAATTAAGCAAATTGTAACTTAATTGCATTATCAAATCTCTCCTTTGCAAAATAACTGTATCGCAAAAGAATGTGAAGAGGCAACGCGAACTTGGGTAGTTCTTATTCTTCATTTTTTATTGGTTCTTCCAACTAAGAGCTACATTATGGATCTGTATGTGTTCCTGGAAGGTTGCTTTGCATTGATAAAAAAGAGTGAAACAGAGGTAAATTTTTGCATGGTGTAGATCTTCTTTAGCACTTCATGTTTTTAGATCTTTTCCTTGTTTATAGGAGGCAATATGTATATTGTTAACATTATCAGCATTTATATATTTTTATTTATATTTTTTGTTTTTAGAATGGATGTATTTGTTTGAGTAGTTCAACGAGGAAGAGGTCCCCAACCCATGGCATAACTAGAAATGGAACTCTGGACGTTGCCTTGCAGACCCCTGCCGCCCTATCCACCTAGTCTTGAGTCCATTTCTATGTTAACTTTGGGACTGAGTTAGAATAGAACTCTAGACGCCACATTGTGGCCCCTGCTGTCCTGTCCACTTGTTTAGAGCACCTTCTCTAGTATTGACATTTACGTTTAAATTCTTGGCAGAGAAAAAGAGTGGTAAAGAAAAAAAAGGATAAGGGTTTGCATCATTTATAATTTGGGATTGTTTGCAATAAGACCGTTTACTTTTAGTACAAGGAGGTCACAATTATTTACAACTATCCGATATGAAATCTAATTTGAGTATGTCACAAAGTTCAAAAAAATTTTATTTTGTGTAGACCCAATGAGAATAGAACTCTAGAAATGGAACGTGCCACTCTAGTCACCTACCTAGAGTCCCTAGCATTGACATTTACTTTAACTTTTAAAGCATTGGCAAAGAAATAGATAGGTAAAGGAATAAATTGTGTAAGTGCATGCATTATTTGTAATTTTGTGTAGGATGTGAGTTTCCATTAGTTTTATTTATTTAGTATCTTAATTTTTGAATAATAATTATTAATTTCCATTAACATGTTTGAACTCGATGTATTGTTCTTGTGTGGATGGATCCTCATTTGTATAAAAAATGATGAGGGTTTGCATCATTTATAATTTAGGATTGTATGCAATAAGACCATTTACTTTTAGTACAGGGAGGTCACAATTACTTACAACTATTCGGTGTGAAATCTAATTTAGAAATGTCACAAAATTCGAAAAAATTTTATTTTGTGTAGACCCAATGAGAATAGAACTCTAAAAATGGAACCTGCCACTCTAGTCACCGACCTAGAGTCCCTAGCATTGACATTTACTTTAACTTTTAAAGCATTCCAAAGAAATAGAAAGGTAAAAGAATAAAGTGTGTACGGGCATGAATCATTTGTAATTTTATGTAGGATACGAATTTCCATTAGTTTTATTGATTTAGCATCTTAATTTATGAACAACAATTATTAATTTCCATCAACATGTTTGAACTCGATGTATTGTTCTTGTGTGGATGGATCCTCTTCTGCATAAAATGTTAGCTCAATGGTATCAGTCTTATTTGGGTAGGGTTTAGGTGCATCCCCAGACCAACTAATCCTAGTGTGTCCACCTTCCAAAATCCGTTTGTAGATAGATTGAGGATGTAAAATTTCGAAATCTATCATCTCAAACACCAACGACCATGATTTGAAGAAAGGAAAGAATTCTCCTCGAGAATAATCCATCTTATGCTTTTTTCTTTAGACCACTCATTTCAATCCTTCAAAGATTATATTATCTACAGTAGTTTTGGGAGCTCCAAATTCATCATGGATACTAGGCGGTCATGGATTTGCAGTGATTTAAGATGAGTTTTGGTTCCTAAAACACTTGAAAACCAAAGCTCACACTGAGCAGGAATTCTTGCCAAAAAAAATTTATATTTTTTGTTGGACAATCACTTAAATTCATAAAGCTGTCTTTCAATTTATAGAATAATAGAACTGAGCAGCTAGCACTAAAAGGCAGCATTAGAAATAGTAAATTGTATATTTAAATTTAGATGTACAACGGCATAGATTTAATGCATTTACATAACAGATTCAAGCTATCCTAGAACCATCTAATTCTTATTTTAATGTTGTAATGGTGGATAATGCAAGCTGACCCCAATTAGTTTGGGAAAAAGCTTTGACGGTGATGAGGAGAAGTTGGTCGGTAAACTGTCCTAATGGAGTCTTATCACAGAGAGAGAGAGAGAGAGAGAGAGAGAGAGAGAGAGAGTACTTGTACAGTACGTACTCTTACTTACTTTACTACTACGTCTACACGAACAACGAACCAAACGTAAAACTAAATAAAATAAAAACTACTACTACTACTA